TTTGTGGGCGATAGAACAACATCTCACTAAATTTTTATCGCATTCTGAAAAATGGTATAGGAGCGCATAGAAAATTATTTTTTACAAAGCGCATATAAGAAAAAATAAGAATTTGGGTCAATGAATGGTTATGTTTATAGATAACAACTCGTCAAAGTTTTGTCGCAATCGCGTGAATGGTGCAGGAGCGCATACGGTTTGAAATTATATTTATATAGCTCGTATAAGAAAAAAACGTAAATTTATATACTGAACTACAACAGTTCCACTCATATATTCGCCACAAGTTTCGTGCATCAAAATCTGAGAACAACACGTTCAGTCATGCAGAACTCTACGAAGCAATAGTTAGAGACAACATTGAGTGTGCTTTTCAAAATGTAGAAATCGCCTAGCGTATATTTTTAACATTAATGGTTACGAACTGTTCAACTGTGCGCTCCTTTTCTCTGTTGAAACATACAAAGAATCCAAGTAGATTGACAATGAAACAAGAAAGGCTTGATTCCTTATCTTTGCTGATAATTGAGGCAGACTTGTTGCGCAAAATTAACTTTAATGATGTACCGGTACTCAAAAACTTTGCCAGACGTAAATGTAGAAAAAAGAACTTTAAAATGTAAACGTGTGCTCTCTCTGACTTTCTTATCTATCAAAAAAGTTACAGTATTTTTGTCTACTATTATTACAAAATTAATTAACTATTAATTTTAATACAGAAATGCCTTATTTGTAGGTTTTATATGAGTGAAAGTAGCACAAACATATGTGTTTACATTTCACACCTGTTTTTCTTTGTTAGTTTTTTGCATAATATTGAACATACCAGCGGTCAGTGGAGGATCGGGGGCCCGTGGCAGTAGGGGGCACCCATGTGGGTTTGTGCCTAGGGCACCAAGATGGCTTAATCCGGCCCAGGCTATGGGGTTTGTAGCAAGTGATTTTTGGTGAAAACATGTCATTAGATTTGATAGTACCGGTAATTTATTTTCATTGATTATTGATCAGTGAAACTCATCTGATCATACTGCATCACTCAGCGTTATCCAACTATATCCTACTATAGTTGTAATTTCCCAAAATAACGTGACGAAGCACGGGTATTCAGCTAGTAAATTATTTAATATTTGGTAAAAATGTAATTATGGAATGTTGGATGTCCCCCAAAGTCTCTTAATATGGCTTTAACCAGTGAAATCTGGTCTCAGGTTTGAAATGTTCTTTCATTTTGTTGCTATGTTGAACAAAGCATGTGCCACGTTGTCTATGCGTTTTATTTTTATTAAAAAAAATCATATTTAAAACATAAAAAAAAAAAAACTAAAATTAAAAGCAACCAATGTATTGAATTTTCTTAAAATAATCAAAGTTCTTTAGGGAAACAACGATATGAAAGAAATGTTATTATAAGTCATTTACATGTCCTTTGTTTTTAGCATGTTCTTTTAACTTTTATTACTATTTATTGAAACAATTATATTAATGTTATTTTGTTAAGTAGGTTAAAATAACAAATCTTCTTTAATTAAGCTGTTTCAATAAATATCTTTTACAATATTTATTAAGTCGTAATGATGTTTTTTGGTCTTATTTTTCTATTAAATAAGTGATTAGATCTGGCACCCACGGGAGGTAATTCTATGTTATAAACACGTTTTAAGTTTTAATGAATGTTTTGTGTTGGGTACTGAGAAGTGTGTCTGTTATTACCATATAAATTATATGGTTAGTGACTTAGCTCAACATTGTTACACTTTCAGAAAAGTATATTGCAATTCAACACAATCAAGCGACTTGGTATTCCTATATATGTATGTATATATATATATATATTTAAAAAAATCAACGAAGTCGATGCGTACACCGCGGCGGTGTACCTAGCGAAACCATCGCCTTGGCCTGCGTAAACCGTGGCGGTGTACCTAGTGAAATCGTGGGCTTTGGCCTGGGTACACCGCGGCAAAAATTTACCATTGGCCTGGTTTTAAGATATACTTGTTAGAGAAGATCTTGTGTGGTCAAGTGGTAGAGTGGACGCTTGGCGATAATATAGTTTGAGATCAAGTCACAGTAGGGGATTGAGGTTTTTTCCTCCCATTTTAGTTTTAAAATATTTTGTAGCAATTTAAACAATTTAAATATATGTTTAAATATTATATTAAATACACTTTAATATATTTATTTATATATATAAGTGTTTCAACAAGTTGTGCCGGCCTTTGACTTTGAAAATACAGGTAAATTTAGTAATAAGACTTTAGACATTTGAAAACAAACTTAAAGTTTCTGAAAGCGCATGTAATACATGATGATCATGATCATGTATAGTGTATGTCAATGTAACATGTATAACAGAAACAAGATGAATACTAAGTGACTGATATTCTATTGTATTTTGTATTTCAACATTCTTTGTGTAGTTGAATATTTACATTTTACTTTTACGAACACCCAAAGAAAATACCAGTATGAATAATATTCATACCATATGAATATTAATGTGCATGGTCGTATTTCAACCTTGAACCATCTTGCTTTCACTATGCCTTATGCATTGGCAAAATGTACATACGATATCAAAGGTTCATTCACAACACTCAGTCTCACAGCAAATCTTTTGAAAACACCTCGATTTTAGAAACTTGCGGAGCGGTAGCAAACTGTATAGCAAAGCCATAGGTCTGCGTTTACCCTTTTCATGACGTAATTTGTTTCCAGAATGGCATGGCATGTGCTATTCTCAGGGTAAAACACGACGTTTTCTCACAGAAACCATTGCACAATGGGCCTGGGACAGGATTTGCACTATGTCAAAGTTTTTGTATTTGTTGTTGTTGTTTTTTTTTAAGAAATCGATCCTTGCCGGGGAGTGGGGGGTGGTGGTGAGTTATGGGCAGAGGCTTAACCAAAAAGGGGGCATTCACAAATCACGGCTCAGGATAGGGGTTGTCCACAAAGGACGTCCGCACAACAAACTTACCTTTTGCATCCCCCCTCCCTCTGCCAGCATTTTTTTTACTAATGTGTAATGCCAATGTAAAACTAAATCAATGATATTTAATTATTGTTAAAAGACTTTCAAAAATCACTGCAGTGTTTCGTATTTATCATCTTACTGCTGTTTTGTGTTGACACATGCTTGGTATCACAATGACAATGCCTCGAACAACTTTAACTTTACGACTTCATGATCAATGTATGAGTATGTGATTCTCTTCCCGTAGTGTATTTGTGGCGTAATTTTATCTTGGTGCTAACAAAATAGATTCACTGTCTTCCCATTAATTTTTACAGCATGCCCCGAGGGATCACATACAATGTTATATTTATAATGCCCCCCCAAAAAAACAACAACAAAACAACAAACAACTGGGTGGGGGGTGGGCATGAGAGAATAATTTCAAATTAAGATTCACAATCATATGATAAAACCTACAATTAATAAATATATTTGTATTTCAATATATTGGGGGAGGGGGGAATAAAGTGGTTAACTTTAAAAATAAATCATGGTTTAACATTACACCCAAAGCCCCCTCCCTTCCAAAAATAATAAGAAATGCTTTACATGCACTTTGCCACATAAGCGTGGAAATTACTCAATATCTTCCCAAGGTAATAAACAAATTTTAAATAAATAGTTTTCAGTTTTAACACGAGTATAACATTAAATCTACAAGTACCAGTTAGGCCAAAAGGTTAAAGACTCGCAAAGACCATAGTTTTGCTACTTTAAATCGCTGCGGTGTACGCAGGCCACAGACCATGATTAAGCTAGGTAACGGTACACCGCCGCGGTGTACGCAGGCCAAAGTTAATAGTTTCGCTAGGTACACCGCCGCGGTGAAATAAAAAGAGGCGGTGTCTCGTGTGAAAGAAAGCTAAATCGACATTGACATGGGATTGATTACTATGCATAATTTCTAGTCAGTAAAAGTAATAAAAAAGGAGCCCTTCTCTAGTGAATTTAATTTAATAATAATAATACTATTATTAATAGTATAAATTATGGTAAATAGTATAATAATATTAATAGTCTTAGTATAAATTATAAATAGTATAATAATATGAATAGTCTATAGTATAGTGTAGTGGAAAGTGGTATATATAATTTTAAAATAATTTATTATTATTAGGCAGTGTCTACACGTCCGGCGCGCCGGACGTATATCTCCCGCACTATTTTTCCGGCGACCAAGTCACATGACCGCCGTAACAAAGTGGCGAGAGATATCTTGTCGGTCAGCCTTTTCACATGACTGCGAATGATTCAAAACTATTGTTAATTTTAAAATCTATTTCTCTACCAAGTAATATACTGAGTATCTTGAATGCAAATAAAAAAAAAAAAACTTAAGTGAAAGTGGCTTGTAAACATTTTTGTTTATTTTGTTATTTGAGTTTGTGCACCATAAAATAAATTAGGGGCCAGTGTGGAGTACGCAACCAATAAAAGTAAAAGATTTCATTTTAAATTGTTTAAATTGCTACAAAATATTTAAATACTTCTCATGAAACTAATTTTGCTGATGAACATGATAATAAAAATATAGTATAAAATATTTTTAATTAAAACGGGAAAAAAAACTATCCTTTCCCCGGAATTGATCCTCAAATCATAATAACTTTAAGCAACCGCTCTACCACTAGACCACGCAAGATCTACCAAACTGCATTTCGTTCAGATTAATAAAAAATACTAGCCGTCCGGCGGTCACGTGACATACCGCCGGACGTATATCTTGCGCACTATTTGTCCGGCACGCCGGACGTGTAGACACTTCGAATTTATTAATATGGAATTGTCATTAATAACTCATACAGTACATACTCTTACATACAGTGTACTCTTGGCGTCCCCCCCCCCCCCCAAAAAAAAAAGTTCTATCTATCATATTTTATTTGTTTTGCCAACTTTGGCACCATTTTTTTTCCATCATAAGGTCGCCATGAAGAGGGTGGCAGTGTAAAAAAAAAAATAGTGCAAAAACACTCCTTAAAAATCAACACATTTTAATTTTAAAATGGAAAAATAGCTTCAGAAAAACATTTAAAATTATGCAAATTTTATTAATTTTTTTACTAAAAAAACTTAAAACTAGGAACTTTGATATTGCTCTGAAACACCCCAAAATTGAGCATTGTTATTTTGTTGACAAAATGGTGACCTCCACTTTTTAATGTTCCGTGGGTATTGTTATTTTGATTTGTAGTATCATAGTCGACATAGTCATAATAAATTATACATCGGCCAATTACTTAAGGCTGACATCTAGCTAGTTCTACACTAATACTATTATTAAGAATTCATTTGATTTTTTTTTTGAGGTTAAACCTTTAAAAATTGAATTTAAAAATAGGTAAACTTTACTGATTATGAGTAACTTTTAAATTTAAACTGGTCTAATAAAGAAAAAAAGATTTCTTTAATTTATAATTTATAACATATCCAAAATTCATGAGTAGGCTGGGGTAAAAAATGAAAATCAAAGAGGTCACTTTTTAAGCTATGCTTGTAATTTGTCATCATGGCAACCATGCTTGTCTGCATATTACCTATTATTGATATTGGTTGTGGGATAGTTAATAATTCATTAAATTTGTTATCTGGAATATAAATTGGAAATATAACTAATAATAAATCATTTTAAATAAATAAATGTTAAATAACATAAATAATAATTATTGGATTATGAAATACAGTGAAAATCATTAACATGAAACTGAGGGGACCGAATTATTTCATCATGTTAAAAGAATTTCGTGTAAACGATGCATAAAAAAATATATATTTATATATACTCACATTTATTAGAGTACATCCTATTAGATTCACTATTTACATTTCAAATTATTATACATTTTGTACATAAATTTTCATAAAAAACAATAAAACCAATAAAAATATTAATAAAAAACAAATGAACTTTAAAATATTTTCATTAAAAAAACAAAACAAATACAATTTTTTTTTTGCATTGTATTTCTTAACATCAAATTGTCAAAAAATTATTTGATATTATTCATTTCATTTAAATAAACATTATTGTCTCATCTCACCGGCAATCATGGTATCAGTATTTCAAAGTCGATTTAGCCTTCTTTCACACGAGACACCGCCTCTTTTTATTTCACACCCTGTATTCTCGCCGGCAGGTGTATGATGTATTTTGTTCATTCCGAAAACTGAAATCTTTACACGTTAAGCGAATTTTTTTGTTTCGTGTTAAAAGAAAAAAATGTATGAAAATGCCTAGTATTTTGTCGGGACCGCATTATTTTGTGTTAACCCATTTTTCATGTTAAGTGTTTTAACATTAAACGTATTTCACTGTATCTGTGGTTTTAATTTTGGTGTTGGTTGCCATGGACATTGACATGGGATTGATTACTATGCATCTGTGACTTACTCAAACTTACAGTTAGATAGGCTTAGTAAAAGTTTTATCAATAGACTTAATACCGGAAGTAATAATAATTTGTTGATGGCTTTGTTCTGCATACATTTCTACATGGATTAATGTATCTTGACCAAACTCAGCACATATATCCATCATTATCCAGAATCAAATATTGAGGGGTCTTGAACTTTTTTTTATCAACATTCGTTTTTCCCCCTTATATAAGCTATATGAGTAAAATTACCAACAAATCCATTAATTACATAAACAATTTTCCCCGCAACTTTTGACCCCCCCCCCCCCGTCAACAACTGTCAAACTGTCGATGACCCCCCTATTTTATTATGTCAACATTTAATATCCCCTCGCGNTTTATAAAAAATGAATTATAATATCAATAAATTTATAAATACGTTTTACTTTGTGCTCATGTATTTTTAATAACACAAAATTGTCAGAAAAAATTACTTCTTTAGCTTGTTAATCAGCAAGTTAAAAAGTTTGTACACTTAAATTTTGTAATGCAGTATCAATTAAAAGTTTGTTAAAGACTAAATATAATTGTTTGTGGAATTATAAAAATGATTATTTTCAGTATAGCTGACAATTATAGTATAGTTTCTAGCTGCTATTATTTTCCCATGGAGTAGCCAGCTGTTGCTCTATTGTAAAAATGGGCATCAGGGACATCATTTGGGTAGGGCATGGGGCCACCCCCCCTCCCCCCTCTTCCCCTTCGATTTTGCTGGTTTTATTTTAATTGCTATGTACTGTGGTGCCTTCAGTAATAAACAACAAGCCGACCAAGTTTTGGTTTTGCCCCCCTCCCTTCCCTTGAAAAAAACCTGAAATAACACCCCTGATGGGCATAGTCTATAGTAGCTGATTGATCATTTTCATCTTGCGGAATGATATGCCAGACAAGTCAACATCATCCTTATGTAACTATTCAGCACTTAAAATAGAAGCATTGTCTGTGTGAGCAATAGTTGCCATAAGCTCTCTCTGTCTTTGAGTTGGTGTAGTTTGTTATTGAACACCGACGATTTTTTAATATTTTTTAAATTGAACACTGTGTACAATGATGTGTTAATCATTCTAGAGAGTGGATTAAGAGAAAAAGGACAGGTGAAGAGATGCCAACTTTTGACTTCTCTTGCACTAACAAAATGAGCTAACATTCTGACCAGCCATCTGCAGTGCACATACAGACACATATTAAATAACTTTTATGTTGTTAAAAACGTAAACATATATGACTATTTACACTCATTAAATTGTTTAAAATAGTGTAAGAACCAGTAATTTTTTAAGATTAAAATTTTAATAGAAAAACATGATTGTTGACGTCAACTAATCTAAACCCCCTTTCTTTCCCTTTCAACAACTGTCAAACATTTCCAAACAACCCCCCTCCCCCCATTTGTTGACGTAATTAATGGACGCCCTTAAATTAATGGATGGATCTTGACTAAACTACTACACTTACACTTGATCATCTATATACAAATACTGAAGGTAATGAATTTCATAAGATCCAATCCTTTCGGTCCGGGGCGCCCCATTTTATTTTTCCTAATATAAGCTATATAATTACCAATAGACAGACAAGACTTCTATGTGAATTGATGGATGTAGGCATAGCTTGGTTGCAATACCCTTCACAGTCCATATTGAAATATCGGTGGATTAAAACTAATAATATCTAATCGATTCAGGGCCGGTCTAGAATTTTCCAGAAAGTTTGATAATTTAAAAAGGCTATCTCTATTGCATTTTTAAACTGATTTCAATGGAACAACTTTTAAATTTTAACTTTATTATTTATCTGAACGATTTTTATAGGGCCCCTTATCTCAGGCATAACAAAAACGGTACACTTATGGAATAGGCACCTACAAAGGGCCATCTCTTAACTTAAATGAAAAAGGGTTATAGTTATAGCATTTTGTTGTAGATTTTTATCGTTTTTGAAAAATAATTAAGTAGAATAGTAATTTTTCACAAGTTTCTAGGAGGTTATTAAATTTAATCTAGAATGTTGCAAAAATTTCTATATTGTTCCACAGGGATATATAGTTAATCTAAAAAATTAGTTTAGTTCTATTGATTTCTATACTTTTCTCTGTATTGCTTAGTTATCTTTTTTAAAAATTTCATGTAGTTTCTGGATTATTCTAGAAGCTTTGATTTTTTTCTATAATCATTTTAAGATTGCATAAATGCCCTAATTATGTTTATTGTGTTTCCACAACTTTCAATGAGTTTCCTCAAATTTTATGGAATAAAAATTAAAGATATTTGTGGAGTTTCTAGAAAGTTTATTATTTGTCCATTATTATGGTCTAAGCTATGTACATAAATGAAGTTTAAGGCTTAGATTACGGTAAACACTACAACGAGTATTTATGGACCTTGGTAAAAAAACCTTCATAATTCCACCGGGGAACAGGATCCCACTAAGGAATAGGATCGGTATTCCAATGGGGTCAGGAACCCGCTGGAAAGTGGATCCCATTGGGAAAGGGATCCCATTTATAAATGTGTTTTTTAGAGGAGAAAATATTAAAAATGGGTAATTTTTTCTTAGTGATGTTTTTTTTACACCCCTTTTTTCGATGTTAGCTAAAAGAAGTTGTTTTTTCCAAATTCAATCCCGGGCCATGCCAGGTATATTGGCTAGTATATGTATACATAGGCTTAGACAACACTATATGTTGTTTGTAAATTAATGGATATAGGCCTAGCTTGGTAGCAATACCCTTCAGAGTCCGAATAGAAATTTCAGTAGATGAAAACTAATAATATCCAATCCATTCAGGGCCGGTCTAGAGTTTTCCAGAAAGTTCAATAATTTAAAAAGGCTGACTTTGTTGCATTTTTAAGCTGATTATAATGGGACAACTTTCAAATTTTAAATTTATTATTTATCTGACTGATTTTTATCAGGTCACCTATCTCAAGAATAACTTAAATGGTATATCATGGAATGGGCCACCCGGGGCCTGTCTATTAACTTAAATTTAAATGAAAAAGGGGTATAATTATGTCATTTGTTGTAGATTTTTATCATATTCAAAAATAATTAAGTAGAAAAGTCGTTTTTACACATGTTTTGAGGAGGTTATCAAATTTAATCTAGAATAAAGTTCAATATTGTTTCAAGGGGTTATTTAGTGGGATATATAAGTGTATTGAAATGTTAGCTATATTCATTTCTATACTGTCCCGGAATTTATTGTTTTCTCAGTATCACTTAGAATTTTTTTTTATAGGGATCTTAAAGGGGTTGGGACCCCATTGAGATCAGGATCCCACCAGGATCGGAAACACACTGAGAGTGGTAGCGCACCCAGATCGGGGACCCATCGGGATCAGGATACCAACAGGATTGGGAAACAATCGTTATCGGGGTCCTTACGGGAAAAGGGGTTGGGATGCAATGGGATCAGGACCTTACAGCAATTGGGATCAACTGGGATCGGGATCCCATCGGTTTCTCTCCGGGAGACGTGATGCCATCAGGAAAAGGGATCCAATTGAGATCCCACCGGGATTGAAATGTTTTCAAAAGTTATTATAAATGTGTTTTTTTTTTAAATGGAGCGTAATTTCAATGTTAATTAAAGGCTGTAGAAGTTGTTGCTTTTCCAAATGCAATCCTGTGCAACGCCGGGTATTGGCTAGTATTATTATAAATTCTTACCAAATGAAATATTAATTTTTAAAAATCCATCAATCAAAAACAATCCATCTGCTTTATCCATGGTAAGGCTATACAACTGCACCATAAATGAAGAGGCCTAATAAAAAAGTAAAAAAGCATTGTCAGCTGATGCATTGTTGCTACAACAAATTCACACGGATAAATTGGTCAGTGCTTTGTGACTTGGTTAAGTTTTGCCAGCTGAGCATAAACAAGACCTTATGACCAGTAACTAAGTAAAAGTATGAGGTCACAAAAAGTAACAAATCCACACAGTGAACATAACTTTAACTGTTAAATACAAAGAATGACAGATAAATTTATTACCTACACATCCAACAGTTAATATAACTTATTTTCTATAGAATTTAAGTAGTCATTAATAATGTTTTTTTATAAAGTGTGTGAATGATTTTGAAGAAACTTTTAGTTTTGTATTAAAACTTTTTTTCATTTTATATGCTCAGGTTTCATCATTAATCATATTCCTTTACTCAGATTTTCTGATATTTCTTCTTTTTCAGAAAAATGGTACCTTTTAGAATATTACTTTGTGTTCAGATTCTTGCTTGTCTAGCATATTGTGGCCCTATTCCACGGACTCCTTCAATATTAGTTGGTCACAGCCAGGACCATCAGATTGACAATGTTGAGATTCACCATGATGTGGATGTTGACAAGAGCCAAGGCGAGTTAGCTGTTGACTCTCTACCAGAGCAACCAAGTAACTAAATGCATTACATATTTAATTGAAATAGCTTTGCTATTTAATAATGCTAGTTACAATACGCTATTTTTTAGCATGATTTCAGCAATTATCTGCTTTATAACTTGAAATTATATCAATCTTGAAAGATGCTAACTTTTTAAGCTCTTAAACTTAAAGGATAAAGAAAATGAGCAAAACAAATTATGGAAAAATCTGGGGGAAAACAGTACGCAACAACACAAGGAACATATAGCCTTCTTCTGGGAACAAACAACAAAATATAAAATAAAAATAAACAAATATAGGTTAAAGGAGAATTAAAGCACATAAATGGGACTTGATTTTTATAAAAACAAAGTTACTTTACTAATAAAATAATTTTAAACATTTAAATATTTTTAATTTACCATACGAAAATGAATAATTTAATAAACTTTTCTCATAATTTTTAAAGGCAACAACGAATAATCATTTTCAGAACTCATATTCAGATTTCTAATTATTGCTTTTTTTTTGGGTGGGGGGGTCCGAAGATTGTGCCTTATCCACCTTCATGTTTTCCTCATGATTTCTTCAGCAATAAGCTCTTGGTATGTCCTTTCCAGTAAATCTTTGTTGGTGACGATGTTTGGCCATGTTCAGGACCTTTCTAAGGCAAGTTTTAGTGAAAGTCTGTAATTTCTGCTCGATGCTTACTGTTGTTCTCCAAGTTTCAGCTCCAAAGAGTAGGACTGTTATCATATTTGTGTTAAAAATTTTGACTTTGGTTTGCAGAGTCAGCGCCCTTGGACTCCCATATTTTCTTACAAATGCTGACCTTGCCCAGACATCAGCTCCAGACCACCATCTACATCAATGGTGCTGCCCAAGTATGTGAAGGCCTCAGCTTCTTCTAGTGCATTTCCAGCCAAGTAAATATGCTCTTGGTTTGCTGAGACTACCTTCATGATCTTTGTCTTGCTTTTATTTATATTTAGTCCAAGCTGTGTTGAAATGGTGGCTACATCTTTTGTGTTTTCCTTCATCTATTGCTGGTTGTGGGACAGAAATGCAATTTCATCTGCAAAGTCTAAATCTAGTTGTTCCCCAGGGTGTCCACTGTATCCGTTGTCTGTGGATTCTTTCATTATCCAGTCAATGGCAAGGATGAATTGGAAGGGGGACAAGAGACATCCTTGTCTGACTCCTGTTTCCACGGACATCTGTGATTCTACCTTCATGTAACACCACCCTGCATGTCATTTCTTATTTAGAACTCGGAATGTTCGAGACTAGTTCTCCTGGTACTCCATAATGTTGGAGAAGTTTCTTTTGTTGGTCCAAGCTATCAAAGGCCTTTTCATAGTCTATAAAATTTAGATATTAATATTCTACAGTGATGCATAGGGTTGCAAATTGGTCTGTGCATGATCTGTTTTGGTTGAAGACAACCTGTTGATCTTGTAGCAGTGTGTTGACTTGGTCCTTCATTCTATTCAGAATATTTCTGTTAAAGACCTTTCCTGGTACTACAGCATTGTAATTCCTGTGTAATTTGCACAGTTGCTGATATCTCCTTTCTTTGGTATCTTGATAAGGTATCCTTCTTTCAAATCTTTTCAAATGGATGGTGTAGCATGTTGATTATTGTTTTTATATCTGCTCTCATCATATCTGTTGTGATGTATCCTGATGCTTTCCCTATTTTGAACTGCTTGATAGCCAGGGCTATTTCTTCCTTATATGAGCACTCTCTTCTATTAGTAAGTCTTCATTTGCTGGTTGTATGTCTTGTGTGTCTGTTGGTGGAGGTCTGTTTAGTAATTCCTTTAAGTATTCCACCCATCGTTTTTGTTGTTCTTTCCGTTCCATTATTGATCTACCTGCCTTATCTTTAACGGGTCTCTCTGGCCTTTTGCATCTGCCGAAGAGTTTTCTTATTATGTCATAGAACTCTTTCAAGTTTCCCTTTCTGGCTGCCTCTTCTGCTGTTGATGCTAGACAATCTATGAAAGCTTATCCTTTTAAAATGGGTATTTTTTATCCTTCAGTTTATATTTCTCTTGTGCTTTTGTTTTCTCTGCCCTGGTGTGGCTGTTTACTGCACACTTCATTTCTTTCATTTTGTTTTGTTAGAGTCAATCTTTGTGCTTGTGCCATTGAAGTTTCATCTGGTCATAATCTGTTTGGTTTTGCAGTACCTGGAACTAATATCTTAAAGTAACACTGAATTCCTGTCATTTGTGCTCATTTGCTAGAGCTAGAAGTGCTATGTTGTGTTCTAGTTTTGCCTAGCAGCTTGCTCTTCCCCAAATTTTTTTTCAGTTTTAGCTTGAGTCTTGCCCAAACTAGATTGTGATCAGATGCAACATCAGCTCCTCTTTTAGCTCGTATGACTTGTATAGACTTTCTGAATTTTTTGCTAATGCTTATATGGTCAATTTGTTTTTATGTTCTGTTATCAGAGGACACCCAAGTTACCTTGTGGATATTCTTATGCTGGAATATTCTATCCCCAATAATGAGCACAGAAGTCTGCCAGTCTTTCACAATTTTCATTTGGCTCTCCTAAACTATTTCTTCATCTCCTCAAATTTTTTTCCAATCTTAGCATTTAGATATTCCATTATCATATTTATATATATACCTGGATACTTTTGTAGTATTGCTTGTAGTCAATAGTAGAAAGCTTCTTTTTCATCTTCCTTACTATCGTTGGTTGGTGCATAGCACTGTATTATATTCATATTTATTTTCTTCTTCTTGGTTCAGAATGTTGTTGCTGTAATAATTCTTGGACCATGGGCATCCTTTCCTATCAATGCCCCTAGTGCAATCCATGAGATCTTGAAAGCAACTCCTTATATGTGGAGCATTTTCCTCCTCATGCCCTGAATAAATAAGTGTTTCTCCCAAGGCCAATGTTAACTGTGTAGTTTGTGTCCATCTTGTTTCACAAATGCTGAGTAGTGTGAGCTTGTATGTTCTCATTTCTGCCACCACTTGTGCTGATTTTCCCGTTTACATATGGTTTTAACATTCCACGAGCCTGTGCTTATTGCCTTTGAAAAGAGGATCCTTGGCTTTGAGGCTTCCAGTATAACCTGGCTTTGGCCACAAGGCTTCATAACTCTTCTTGGGGAAATAGAACCCTCTCTTATCAGGGCTAAAATTGTTTGGCTTTTCTTCCTGGTTACATTTCTGTAGCAATATGTTTTTTATAGGTGAGGTAGCTGGCCAACCCTCCTCCTTTTGCACCCGGCTTGGGACCGGCCATGGCGGATTTGTTTTTTTTAAAAGTAACCTTATATTAAAAATTAATATTACAGTCAATGATGCAGCAGGAGATCGACAGTTGAGTAAAGATGAACAGCAACAACAGCAGCCATTAGATGTAGTTGAAATGGCTATTGGGAATGATGTTAATGCAGCCCATGAAGTGAAAGATACTCTGAAGGATAAGCTTAGACTTATCTTAACAAATGGAAGTCAAGATGAAAACATAGATCTTAACATGGAAATGGTCAAGAAATTTAAAGTGTGATTTATTTTTATATTTTGTTTTTACACTTAACAATCTAATAAATTTTTATGTAAGCAGGACTTTAATTTTATGGCCATACAGTGTTTTTTAAAGAGAAACTGCTAAGAACTCACTACTAATTTTTTTATTTTATTTGCATTCCACATGCTCAAAATTATTATAATTAAAACTATAATTAGATTGAGCTTTTGAAATGGAATGGGAAACTTGAAAAATCAAATTTTAGATTGATCTTGAATTTTAATAAAAATTATTTCAAACTGGCATGGAAAAAATCATGTTATAAGTTAAAAGGAAAAACAAATACTTTTTCTTTACTGTACATCAGAAACTTACAATGGAACAACTTGTACCTGTGGACCACTTGGATGTTGTAAAAATGGAACAAGATGGTCATGTCAACAAAGAATACCACAAGGAGATGTTCCTTGGAGGATTGCATGATGAATTTAAGGTCGAGACATTCGATGATGCCACCATACAATTACAAGAAATTGTAAATAGGTAAAATATGCCAAATCTGTGAAGCATTACACAGTCATGTTAATTTTATTTCTATAATAATTTCAAGAAATAAAAAAGTTATACTAATCACTCACAATCCAGAGAAGCAGTGATTTTTAAAAAGTGGAGTTGTTTAAAAATCTGTGTTCGTGGATTGTATGGATTATAAAAAGTTGATTTTGAAGCAGAAATTCATGCAACCTTTCAGCATAGACTAGGAAGTGTATAACAAATTCTGCAATTATTTTTGTTATATTTATTTTTTTTATTACATACCGGTATTTAAAATTTGAAAAAAAGGGGGAGGGGTTAGGAAATAAAATATAGGTTTTAAAAAGTTAATAATGTGTGTGTGTTATTGTTAACTTTCTATGAGGTCTAATTTTGTCAAGTCTCTGTGCTACCTGCAGAAAATATTTATTAATTTTTTTATGGCCCAGGCCCTGTATAACTTTTATCTGAATAGAAATCTGGAGCGGACAACACACACACACACACACCCATTATTATAAACTCTATTTTATGAATAATTTCTATAATAGTTTTGACTGAGGTAGCTATTTTCAAAGCATTATACAGAACATAATTGTATTTTTAATATGAAGGCTGGGCTAGGCGTTTTTAGTAGACTATCAACATTCAACTCATAATGTGAAAATTTCATCTTTAATTCAGCATTTTTGGCTGTTAAAATAAAGTACCATAATATGTAATATATTATATAGTTTCAGTTATTTTTGGTCAAGGATTATATACTTAAATGCCCATGGGAAGTCAAATAGTTATACAGATACCAAACTTGAAGTAAATATACTCTTTAACAAACAACTATATGGATGTTAAAATAATCCAAAATAATTCTTTAAAATGTTAAAAAAAAAAAAAAAAGCAAGGAATTTTTAACTAGAATTGTTTTGGTCTGATTGTGGTTCTGTTCTTCATTATTGAATACTAGAAAATATGACCCGATGTAACTGGGATAATGCCAGGCATTTTGTGATATTTTCTACTTGTTATTGCGAAAAATCATCAGAATTTCTTTTTTTAAAAAAAGATGTTTGTAATGATGTTTACATTTTCTTTCTAACATCATTTAGTTTAGACAAATATTTATCTGCTATATAATATTCGCCTACCCTATCCCTTTTTTTGCACCCCCCAACTTCAATTTTTTCTCTAAAAATTGTAAATTATGACCTTAAATTTACAGCAAAAATCTATTTACCATTTTAAAATTATTTTATATAAACATAATTGATATCTTCATTAAATTTGGCCTTGTTTTTTCCACTTTATTATATGAAAATTGTAAAACAAAAATGCTTTAACCTAAAAAACTGTTTTTCACATCTGTAACAGCATTAAGTTTAAAAAAAAAAAAATTTGGATTTATCTCATAAATATGCACCCACTTTACTTTTCACAAAGTAAAAGAAACAATATTTTTTCAGTTTTTGAAAGAAAATCTTAACCCATTTTTGTTCACCTGTGTAAACAGGAGTCAGGCAAGGATGTCTCTTAGATTTTGATATTGTTATTTGAGGTATGGGTATACTTATATGGTGGTGCCCACATTTTGTCAACGCCATGAGCTATATTTTCTTACTTGGTAAACATATATTTATTTGTAAAAAGAGAATGACACCTCTTTCTTCATGACTATAATATCATTGGATCTAAATATATTGTCATCCATGTAAAAATGTACACACCTTACTCCTAAGAAAATTAATTATTTATCAAATTCTTTCCATTATTCTGAAGTGTATCTTATGCTGCCTGGAGCAAAATGAAAGTATCGAATCACCCTCTCCCACAGTTATAAACTTTAAAAAATAAAAAAAATAATAAAATCCTCCAAGGGATGGTAGCCCCTACGTTTGCAACCACACATTTTTGCATGTCCCTGAACTTAATTAAAATTCTTAAGTCCCAGATCCCTTTTAGCACACATCGTTTTATATTTTCTAAAATAAATATATAATTCTATGCATAATTCTGTATATCGACAAATTATGGTTATTCAATTTAACATTAAAGACTCTACTGAAAGTTAAAATCTGTCACATAATTGGGTTTTGAGATATTTATATCAAAATTAACCTATTGCAACTACATATGGTTTGTTTTTATTTGGATGAGTGATAAGTGAATTAGTATATAATTTGCTTATAAAGTTTTGCTCCCCATTTGGCTTAAACAGCATTTTCTTATTAAAAGTATTTTAAATTTTAAGTTTTTGTTACTTTATATAAATTTGATAGATATCTTTTTGGAATGAAAAATAAGTAAAAACTTATTGCATGTTAAGTACAAAGTTAAAATTTGGTGTGTTTTATCAAAAATTATAAAAGCAATCAATTATATTTATTAATTTTACTTTCAAAAAGGGGAAAATACATTATGAGTTTTGCCATACACGGTTATTAAATCAAAGAGACTTAAAAAAGCGTTTTATTTGCAATTTTAAATTTTGCATTTGTTTTAAATGTGGTAAATTATAGATTTGTTTTTTGTTGACTTTGTACCGCGCATCGAGCCTTTGGGGATGAAGCGTGTTTTTGAAATGAACTTTATTATTATTATTATTATTATAAGTATAGTCTGCTTTGCCAACCCCTAGTTCTTTTTTTTCTTTTCTAAAATATGATAATTTCTTGCTGTTTTACCATCACCAGTGCTGACCTGGACAAGGATGGCTTTTTATCCAAGCCAGAAATGGAAAAATGGATTTTAAACAAGATGATGGAACACTTTGCTTCAGCAAGGAAAGAGAATGAGCTGATCTTTGACCATCTAGATCCTGATGGTAGGTTCTAATTGTATTGTTCAAGTGATAACTAAATACTGTGCTTGCCAGTGCCCAAAATGGGCAGTGAGGTTGAAGCTAATAATGTGATCTCTGCAAAACACAATTGGCTATAATCTATCAATGGAATTCTATGTCTGTGGGTAGAGTTTATAGCAGATAAATTATTACTTACCATGTCATTGTTTAAACCTTCTTTTTACCTGACAATATTTGTTGCCAATTCATAGCTTTCTTCTTATCTTAATGCAGGGGATGGTTACATAAAATGGAAAGAATACTATGTCCACTTCCTTCTGTCTCGAGGATTTGATGTTCAAAGTGCTATGCAGCATGTTCTTGATTATGAGGATGGTGTTAAATTGGATCAGGATGGTGAGTACAAGCCCTTTGATAAGCATTTGGTAATTACAATTTTAACAACACAGTCCTCATAATGTGAAATGATTCAATAAGATTCTGTAAGTCTACTATTCAAAGTTATTTATTAAATTAGTTTTTACATGTTTTTGAATTACAGAAAAAAAATTTAGAAAATGGAATAAGAAGAGTTCATTAACTTTTAGAAAATAATTACTTTAATTAAGTTTTTGCATTCGAATTTTTTTCTTTTTAAATGCAGTTTTTTGTACTTTAAGATAGTTTTTAACTTCTTATTAAAATGATGTTTTTAGGTCTTGATTAATACTGATAGGGGTGTGCCGGAATCCGGTTCCGCTGGATTTTGCACTATCCGGTGAAATCCGGTTCCGCCGGATTTACATGTATCCGGAACAACTGGAATCCGGAATATACCGGATTTCGGAATTTGTCAGATTTTGTGACTCACCGGATCCAGACATGTTTACTCTTACGATTTTGGCGAACAATGTACGATTTTTAGATGTCTTTTACGATTGTACGCCAAGACCCTCCAAAACTACGATTTTCAGAGACCCGGTGGAAAAAATTTTCCCCCGATTTAAAAAAAATTAATAAATTTTCGGGTTTGGACGTTTTAGCCCTCTCTAAATGAAGATCTGGCAGTGAATATGAACAAGAAAAACGATTGGTTGGATTTTTTTTTTTTTTTTAAAAGTTGGGACCATCCTTATTATATTTCGAAAGCACTCATGGGGACTGGGGAGGTGGGGTTGTTGATGACGGAAATTGTGGCATACGAGACACGCATGGGTAGGGGATTGGTGGGAGTGTCAAAGGATATAAATAAATAACCCCGACGTATCGTATTGACGGGATCACAGTGAACTAGCTGGCTGCGTCAACAGTAATATTTAGACTTGTCGCCCTAGCGACAACTTCACCCGCCATCGCCTTTGACTGCTACCAAGCGTGTGACGTAGTTTTGGTACATAATTATTTTGTTCCTCAGAACCGCGGCGATTGTAAAACTAGAGATGGTTTTTAAAATAAAATAGATGATCCAACTGTTCTGCAGTGGAGCGTTGGATTTTGGCATACCGGTATTTTATAAGATCCAGTCAGCGACATTTACAAAATATATGGAAATATTTTGTAGTTTTATTTATTTACTATAGAGATATTGTATTGTACGATTTTGAGACCAGATTGTACGATTTTAGGGGTTTGAGGGTAAACAGGTCTGCCGGATCATAATCTGAAATAAAAGTAATTCTCTTTCCCGAATTCCACACGATCACGATACATTAATCGATTGTTTCGAGCGTTGAGCTTGTTTAATGTTTAATATTCCGAACATACCAGAGGCTAGAGTCAGCACCGCTAATAGTGGCCAATCGGCCCAATCCCATACATGATTAGTGCCAACTGTTTAGAAGGCATCCAACCCCTCAGATTTACCGGTATCTGCAAAGTACCGGAATCCGGGAAAACCGGAATCCGGATTATTCCGGAATCCGGATTATTCCGGAATCCGGATTATTCCGGAATCCGGTTTATTCCGGAATCGGAATCCGGATCCAACGGATTTCGCATACGAAAATTCGGATCCGGTTGGAAAAAAACGGATCCGGCACACCCCTAAATACTGATACTAATTAAACAATATATTATAGCAAATGTTTGGGGATTAATGATAATTATAGTTTAAATGTGAATGTAAAAGGAATAAATTTTAACCAAGATGCAAACATGGCTTCCAATAAATAAGTTTTAGATTACAACACACTATTTAATGACAGTGGTCCAGGGAACATATACAAAATTCTTTTTAAACTTTTTCAGATAAAGATGCTTTGATCTCTTATAAATTCAAGTGGACAGATGCTGATAACAACATCACAGATAACAAATTATCCAAAGATGAATTTATGATCTTCAGACACCCTGAGCACAGTAAACAGACCCTCGAGACAATGGTTATTAATGTCATGAGGGGTGTAGGTAAGTCTTGTCATGATATGGTTAGGTAGGTCTTGTCATGAGGGGTGTAGGTAGGTCTTGTCATTAGAAGTATTGGTGAGTCTTATCATGAGGGCTATAAGTCATGAAATTGGTTGTTAAGTCTTGTAATGATGAGTGTAGGTACATATTGTCATGGAGGTGTAGGTAAGTCTTATAATGAGGGGTGTAGATCGGTCTTGTAATGAGGGATGGTGGTAGGTCTTGTATTTGATTTATGTGTCATTTGCTTTGTGGGACTAACTATACTCAGTTGCTGTAGTGGCAGAGGGCACTTCAATACTCTATAGTAAAATCACAAAGAATGGCTTTGAAGAAAAGCAAGTGGCCTTAAAAGGTTCCCGGAGTAATTAATATATTGTTGATTGCAACACTATTAAAAGTCAGATTTAAAAAAAAATTCTTTTATTTTTCAATTTTATTACCTGTTTCTTGTAAAAATATGTTTAAAATTCATTGTTGTAAAGTACATTACCTGTCACATGATCTAACAAAATATTTTAAAAGTTTGAGTCAAAAGTTAAAAGGTTTTTTGTGTCTCCTGTAAAATTTGAAAACTTGAAATATACATTTTGAGAGTTACAGAGATGACCAGTTAATGAAAACAAACATTATTGGCACTGGCATGGAAATCAAATAAGTTTTGTATTGAGTCAGAGCTTTAATTTTCAGAGATTTTGGAGAATGCATGACTCTAGGAAGTACAAAACAATTTATCTTAAAAATTTTTATACCGGTATTAATTAAGTACAGTATTAATCTTTAAAAAAAATTTAATTACCTAAATGAAAATATCAGCAGAAAAAATAGTAGGATTCCAGCAAACTAACATTAGAGTGGTCTGGTTTGATAATGAATGCAGAGAGACTGTAGAAGAAAGGAACAAAGCACAAATGATCATGATACAAAGGGAAATCAGAAAGACAACACAAACATACATGGAAGCCAGAAGGAAAGCCACAAAAATGTGTAGAAATAAAAGAGGGAATGGGAAAAAGCTAAACTAAAACAAATAGAAGAGTTATCAAGAGAGTCGGAAACATCAGAGGAATGTACATTAAGATAAAAGATGAAAATAATGGATACCAAGCCAGACCGCTAATGTGTGAGAGCTTGAGTGGAGAATTAATTACGGAAAATAGTAAAGTACTTGAGTCATGGGCTGAATATTTTGAGGCAATACTAAATGCAGACAATAGACAAGATGAAGATTATCAATAACCACATGGAGGACCAGACCCTTTCATAAGCTCTCCAACTTTAGAAGAAACTACAAAAGTAATCAATTATATGAAAAACCACAAAGCCCCTGGAGAAGACTTCATCACAGCAGAACTTATTAAATATGGAGGAAAAGAACTACAAACTCAGAAACATAAACTTATGAATAAAATTTGGCAAGAAGAGAAAATTCTAACAGATGGGAAAATGGCATGGATAACTCCAATACACAAGAAAGGCTCCAAACTTCAGTGCAAACTACAGAGGAATTTCTATATTAAATGTTACATACAAAATACTGACAAAACTAATTGCCAAAAGACTACAACCGTACACTGAAGATGTAGATTCAGACAAAACAGATCAACGACTGATCAGATTTTCACATTCAGATGCCTATTAGAAAAATGTTAGGATTATAATATCCCATTATGTCAAATCTATGTGGGCTATAAAATGGCCTATGACAGCATCAAAAGAAAATATCTCTATGAGACTGTGTAGGAGTCTGGCCAACAAACCCAACAAACTGACAATACTGATGCATTAAATAACTCAAAAAGCAAAATCAAGGTTGAGGGATAATATTTAAAGGAATTTTAGATTAGACGAAGCCTTAAACAAGGAGACTCACTATCTTGTATGCTATTTAAACTTACTTTAGAGAGCGCTATAAGAATAATAGATATTGACAGCCACGGAAAAATATCAGGATACTTCCTGAAGGAAAACCAAGACGCACCACCAATAGGCACTCTCTACAACCAACCCATTTCAGTATCTGGCATATGCTGATGACATTGCACTGTTAGGGTTAGGGAAAAGTAGAAAAGACATTTCAAAAGCCTTTATTTAATTAGAAGACACATCACTACCAGCAGGGCTGGAAGTTAACAACCAAAAATCAAAATACATGACTATGATAAGAGAAGAACAGACAGATGGCGCCATTAAAATCAGAAAGTACATCAATCCAAATACCTAGAATCTTTATTAAATGAAAGAAATGAATTACTAACAGAAATAGAAGATAGAATATCAGCCGGAAACAGTGCATACTTCAGTAGTCAGAAAATACTCAAAAGTAAAAATATTACCAAAAAAAAAAAACACCTATAAAACTGTAATCAGACCAGTTGTAACATATGCAAGTGAAACTTAGACCCTCACAAAACGGCAGAAAATCTGTAAAACACATGGGAGAGAAAAGTTCTCACGAAAATATATGGACCAACAAAGGATGAATATAGATGGAGAATACGAACCCAACAAATAATTGTACAGTCTATATCAGGATGCCACACCAGTAGCAGAAATAAAAAGGGTAGGTTACGCTGGGCAGGACACTTAGAGAGAATGCCAAATGATAGAGGGGTGAAGAGGGTACATCACCAAAACCTTAGAGGATAACAGTTCAAAGGCAGACCCTAGGCTTAGATGGATGGATGATGTGGAAACAAGTCTACTGCAGCTGGAAAACTAAGCATGGAAAAGAAAAGCATTAGTTAGGTCTGAGTGGAAGGAAGTAGTGAGGCAGGCTAAAGCCCTACTAGGGCTGCAGCGACACAGGGATGGATGGAAAATCTTTTGTAACATTGTGTTAAATCAATCTTAATTTTAGAAACACAAATAAATTGGAAACATTAATTTTTACTTAATTAAAATTTTTGAATTATAACTGTTACAAATTTGACTTATAACTGTTCAAAATGTGTTTATTTTATTTATTTATTTATTTAGGCATTTTTATATAGCGCTTATCATAAAGCTCTAAGCGCTTTACAATTATTAAAACATGTAAACTAAGTAAATACAAATGAGATACTAGGATAGTAACTACTATTTTATAGAAACAATGAAAATGACTATAAAACGAGGACACTTTGACACTTCAGGATCAACCCGAAACAGAAAATGAGGTAGGGCAAGGAGGGTGCATCACAGGTCATAGGCGGACCTAAACAGATGAGTTTTAAGGGACTTTTTGAAAATGGACGAGGTTTCACTATGACGTATATGGAAGGGGAGCTGGTTCCAGAACGTGGGCCCATGGAAGCAGAAGGAGCGTTCACCGATGGTCTTAGTTTTAGTTCTTGGGATTGAGAGGGTTCTACTGTCAATGGAAGAACGTAGTTGTCTTGTGGGGATGTAAGGAAGCAACAGTTCAGAGAGATAGACAGGAAAGTGAGGGTCAGTGAACGAGTTGAAGCAAAGATTGGCAGACTTGTATTTGATGCGAGAGGATATTGGAAGCCAGTGGAGTTGCCGCATGTGTGGTTGAATGTGGTCATGTTTCTTTGATTTAAAAATGAGTCTGCATGCTGAGTTCTGTGCCTTCTGAAGTTTTTCTATGTGGTGTTGAGGAATGCCTGAGAGAAGAATGTTACAGTAGTCAAATTTTGAAAGAATGAGTGAAGAGACAAGAGTTTTTGTGGCATCAAAGGAGAGGAGGTGTCTAATGGTGCTGATTTTTCTAATTTCATTATATGCTGATCTGCATATATTCGTGACATGAAAGCAAATTTTCTGTATTGACAAGACATTATTTAGGAAGTTCCCTAACCTGAAGTTCAAAACACTCTTGCAATATGGCAGACAAAAATATGTGAACCTCTTTCAGTTTATTTTCCCATTAAGAGAGTAACACAACCAAATCTTCATAGTTTTTCATAAATTTGGATAAGGTTTTTGGTTACTGACAATAAATATTTCATTTTCTGATTATTTATGCTAAAGTGTGATCAATTTAACACTTGTGATCTTCTGCCAGATTCCAACAAGGATGGTGTTATTACAGAAGAAGAATTTGCAGCATTGCCTCCTGGAGAGGTTGAGGGAAAAGAGTTTGAAGAGATGGATCGAAAGTGGCAAGAGGAGAGGAAGATAGAATTTAGAGAAATTATGGATGCGAATAAAGATGGGAAGGTTGATTTACCAGAGCTGAAAGTAAGTTGATGAGATTGTGTTTTTCATTTTCCCTTATTCAATTAATATTTTATTTTATATATGTTAAGTAAATCAAAATTATATTTGAACCTGTCTCCATCATTGATCAAATTTATTAACTCAGCATTATTAGTTTATAAAAAAAATTATCATTTGCTTTGGATGCAATTTAATTGACATGCAGATAAATGTTTTAAGAAATTAAATTTAATGGCCAGGCATTTATAATGATGAAAATATCAGCTGACTATACCTGTCCAATTTGTATGTCCAGAGCTACCTTGACCCAACAAATCCTATCCAGGCAAAGCTTGAGGCTGACACACTTCTGTCCCTAATGGATGATGATAAAAACAACCTGCTATCCATGGAAGAAATCCTCAAACATTCAGACATTTTTATATCCAGCAAGCTTGTCAATTTTGAGCGCAATATTCATGATGAATTTTAATATTTGTTAATTATACGAATAAATATATTTTCTTTCTTTAAAGAGATATAAAATTGTCAAAAACTTAGGTTGATTTGAATTAATGAATTAACTGCTAATTGTATTTATAATATTTTTCTGTGATACCCAGCAACTTAGAAATTAGCTCAGAAAACAGAATCATAATATACATGGCAAATTTAGTTCACTCTAGTTGAAGTACCTGGGTTTTTATAATTTATTTGTTTGTGGTCAAGTGAATAATTGTAATTGTCGCTTAATTCTGGATTTTTGTATTTAGCAAGTGTAATGATGTACACATTTTTTAAAATAATTTTTTTTCTTATCAGGGTTTGATTTTGAGGCTAATTTTTTTTTTTGGTTAACAATAAACCTCAGCTTCACTTAAAGCAGAAGAACTAATAGATCTTAAGACTTAAAATTAACTTTCACTTATTTGTACAAAATAGCTTCAAAGAAAAGCATTTATGCTGTACACCCTGGCAGATGCAGGGAAAGCATTGTATCTCCAGTGCTTATTTTTTTTAACAATAAATAATGAAATCAGACTGATGTATCATTATAAAAATGTGTAAAATTAGCCTATTCATTTTTTACCTGTCTTCCTCTGGTTTTATTCTATTACTTGCTCATTTCATGAAATAAATTAGATGTCTAATCCAACAGTTCTCACAAATGATACTGTCATCTAGAAGCTCCCTAGGCTACCGTAGAATTTCTCAGCCAATAGTGTTGCCTGGACTCAGAAGCTCTCTTGCTGGCAGTGTTTGAGAACATCAGGGTTCACTAGTTCAGATCTGCTAAGCACATAAATCTTTGCTTTGGTGCATGCAGTTGTGGTCATAGTCAAGGGGATAATCCCCGATCTGATTCCATGAAAGCTGGCAACAGTTGCCAATCCATGTTGTGGTCTGTCAGTGTCAGCCTACTTTGTCACATGAGTGATCTCATGATTGTTTCTAGCAAATTGAAACGTTCCATGGTTATATTGTCTGACCTCTCACCCTTTCTTTTTTTAAATATATACAGTGGTACCTCGGGCTACGAACTTAATTCGTTCCAGAACTCTGTTCGTAACCCAAAATATTAAAATCAATGAAATAGAGACAATCCGTTTCACGATGGAAAGAATCATTTTTTTTTATTAACATCCGGTCATTTTCCTGACAAAACGCAAAGAATGCATGTACTTCACATATTAAATAAATAGAAAGAAAACAACCCATGAAAAAATATTTAGTCCATGTTTCTTACCATGAAAATGATCATGGTAAATGTGTCAGTTTCCTTGCTATTCTGAATCACTAGTTTCAGGAGTTTCGTGGCAGCCAACTGGGAATCTCTCTGCACTAAGAAACTGTCAAGGGAAATTTGTCACTTCCTTTGCTGGAGAATCTTTATCAAGTGGGCCATCGCGTTATCATTCATCAGGTTTACTGCCAACTGCTATCTCTCTCTCTCTCTCGCGTTGGTTCATAACCTGATGCACTGTTCGTAACCCGAGACAAAAAAGTGTTGAAGTTGTTCGTAACCTGAATTGTTGATGACCCGAGGCATTCGTAACCATGGTACCACTGTATCTGCTACCTGTCTTCTTTCTCTGCCACTGTTGGCTGGTAGAAATTGAGTGGCAACCATCGACTGGTAATCATTTACTAGTAACTATATGGCTAGTAACCATTTGGTAAACATTGGCTAGTAATCTTAGGCTAATAAACGTTGGCTAGTAACTATTGGCTGGTAATCATTTGCTAGTTATAATGAGCTGATAAATATTGGCTAGTAACAATTGCCTGGTAACCATTGATTGGCACAGGTCAGGTCTCAGTGGTCCTGAAACTTGGCCGAGGTCCTTGTTGTGTCCCTGTAGAACCAAGGAATCTGATGCAATATAATCTTCATAAAATTCTTAATTTACTCTTCAGATATTTTTATTTAATCATTTTTTTTAAATTTCATTTCTTTAGAGTTGATTAGTCACAAATTATGTTCTTGTTTTTTCTCAGCTGAAATAGATTTGTCATGTAATATTCAAAATTTCATTAAAAAAAAATTTTAAATACACTAATTATTAATTTATGCTGATTGAATTCAGCAATTCTGCATTTAGTGTAAGTTAATAATTTATTAGAAGTTAACACTGCAGCCTAGATGCAAAAATATGTGGATGACTGTGTTCAGGTTGAAGCAATAAGAAATATACAAAGAGTAGGGGAAAACCTGAAGGACAATAACAGAAAGTAATCGTTTCTGTCAAAAGGCCCTCGACAGCAAAAACAGTTGAAGACAGAGACAAACACTCTTAGCTTTTTCTATAAAAATGTAGTCTTCAGGAAATGGTAGACATATTCAACTATAGAAGTGACCCATGAAATCAAAGAATTTGCATATGAAATTAACTACAGGAAATGTAGAAGATTAGAAATAAATAAATAATATGGAAATCGACGATTTTTTTAAAACAAGGACTGCGTGGGTAAGGTTAGCAAGGATGTTGTCAAATATCATGGAAAGAACACAAAAGGCAAATGGGTTCTTGCTTTACCTACAGATATTTGGAACTAGGCTAACACAAAGAGAGAGAGAAAAAATAATCAGAATATTAATTTTTTAATTTTTTATGGTTCTGAAAGATGGCGGTCAATAGAAAAAGATTGGAAGAGACTTTAAACCTCCATGAAAGCTTATTGCATAGAAATTTTAACATCAGGTGGTTCCACAGAATCATAAATATAGCAAATATAAAGTCATAAGGAAGAAGGGAAAGGAAGTTCATGGTAATTATTCATATAAAGTAAGGGGCGGAGAGAGACAGAGACTTGTCAGCAAGTAAAAGAGAAAATTCCTATATGGAATAAGTCTATGGAAAACTGCAGCCTAGATGAAATTAAAGCATAAAAACAGTCAGTTGTATCATAGGAAGAAATTTATTCTTATTAATTATGCTAGAATGATTGTCCTTTAATATATTGCTAGCTTTCATGCTTAAAGAGTTGTGATTTTTTTAGTGTACAATATAGAAATTATGATGATCAAATTGGGAAAAAACTTTTTTATGGGGAAACTTTCATTTTAACTTATCTTTATTTTACTTGTCTCTTTTTTAATTTGTTGAAGACAAGTTTTTGATGGCAACATTTATTGATTGTTGGTACTTTTTAAACATTCATATTTCCTTACAAATGCGAATGTGTCGTTATTTTATAATGGAACTGAAATTATTCAAAGTTTTGACTGCTGATGTCTCAGTTGTTATTTCTGTATGTCATATTTATGTGAATGAAATTTAGTTAATTGGTGCTGATACAACTTTAACTTCTTTTTTAATATTCATTTGTATCGAAAACAAAGTAATCATATATATATATATATATATATATATATATATATATATATATATATATGTGTGTGTGTGTGTGTCTGTCTGCCTGTCTGTGTGCATGTGTGTGGAAGGTAAGGCTAAGTCTGGCCTAGCCATTGGGTCAATTAATTGGTGCTGATACAACTTTAACTTCTTTTTTAATATTCATTTGTATCGAAAACAAAGTAATCATATATATATATATATATATATATATATATATATGTGTGTGTGTGTGTGTGTCTGTCTGCCTGTCTGTGTGCATGTGTGTGGAAGGTAAGGCTAAGTCTGGCCTAGCCATTGGGTCACGGCATTGTCCTTTTTTTAAATTAAGAGTCTTTGCTGATCTGAATATATGGAATTGTTTTGATGACATTGTGCATATTAATGTTTTATTTTTAATGACTGTTAGGCCATGTATTTGAAGCTTTACGTGACTTTGTATCCTAACAAATATTCACCTTTAAGTTCACCTTTGAGCTTATTTCAGTTGATGAAAATGAGAACATTTCAATCTGAGCTCAAAAAAATAATTAAAACTGCTATACAAACAAAACTTGTGTACAAATGGGTAAAACTTATTTGTTCTCCCAAGTTTTCCTAACGTAATATATCAAAAGTTTCCTGTAAAAAGATTATGGTTAAATGATTCTTGATGCACTTGTAAATTGAGCTTATAGCTGTTATATGAAATCCATTGTAAAGTTGTAAAAAATAATGAATTAAATCTTTGACTTTTTGTTATTCACAAAGAAAATATCTGAATAAATAAGACCCTGTCTTCTTTTGATTATGAATATTATTATAAATTAAAGTATTTCTTTATAATTAGCATAAAGCGATATGACCATTGAAAATATAGCTTATTTTATTATAAAAAAATAACTATATCCGACAAACTTGTTAATCTCAAAGACCTTATTGAAAACATATATGAGATACTAGATCGGGAATATATATTTTTGCCATGCCACTTAGTATTTTTGTGTGGATCTTTTCATTTAATCCAATATAACATTAAGCTTCAGATTTGAACAAAATATAGTCACTGCTGCTAATAAAGTGAATTGAACTGTGAATGGAACATTAGTTGATAGCAACTGTGTTACCCAGGGGAAATAGAGGGTGGGGTGTTTTCATTTCCTATCACACTAGTCGATGGCAACTGTATTGACAAAGGGTAAACAGGGGGTGGCATGTAAGCTCCTGTCATGTTAAGGTTCATTACCATCAGCTTCCCCGAGGAAATAATGAAGTTGTAGCCATAAAAAGCAAAAAATTCAATCCACTGCTGTTTGTTCATGATGAGGTTTGTCATGAATTAATCCTTTACATCTCATATGGTCTGTCTATATGCCTAACACAACAAATTATTTTATTACAGTTGGCATTTAGAACTGGTGATTTTTTTAATTTTTAAAATTGTTCTTTACAAGAACAAATGGGACACCTATGAATTAAGGCATCCTGTCATACCTCCGGTGACTCTTTGTCTTATATAAATAAGCATGTGACAAGAATGGTCTGAGTGCCTTAAGCATGTGGCGGTTTGTCTTATATAAGTAAACATTTGACACATAAGGAGTCTGAGTGCTTAAAACGTGTGAGAATTTGTCTTGTATAAATAAACATGTGACACTTTAGTGATCTGACTGTAAAAAATATTTGACACAAGAGTGGTATGACTGTAATGGTAAATTATGCCATTTGTTATTATTTATTTGTATATTTACCAATTAGAATGGCCATCTGTAAAAAGTGGGGTGAATTGTTGTAAATAATATTTAAGTTGTTGCATGGCCAACTAAAATAGAGCGGTGTCTGATCGTATGAGGATATGCAGTTTAAAATTTCTAGTGGTAAGTTAAAAAGAATGTGAAAAATTTCATAATTGAAATCTTTTTATGCTTTTAAACAAAAATCCCCTTCTGTTGTTTGGTTTATCCAAGAGATTTGTTGTACTTGGTGTATCCATTTGTTGTATTAGTGTATCCATTTTTATGCCCTTAGTGATTCCATTTGTTTCACTTAGTTTATCCATGTGTTGTACTTAGTGTATCCATTTGTTGTACTAGAGTATCCATTTGTTCTTAGTGTACCCAGTTGTTGTACTTAGCGTATCCATGAGCAAATCTTGTTTATTTTGTTAAGTTTAACAACATACTTGGCAACACATATAAATATTTAATAAAATATTGAATCAGTGCTCCAGAAGCAGTGTCTAACCAAGGAATTATTATTTGATTAGAGGGACCATATTATAGGTGCATCTAACAATAAATTACTGAAGGTAAATGCCACCAAAATTTTTTTTATATCTTTGAAACTCTGGTTGTCCACCAGTGTGTCACAATATATTGGTTTCTACCTACAGATTTATATTTCAGGATTACTGCTGTCCTTGTTGCAAACACTTGAAATACTTACTCTCTCAGGTGTGCAGATTGAGTTTGCTCAAACAGTGCGAAACCTTATACAAAACAGTAACTTTTAAAAATCACATTAACATGCTTTGCAAGGCAATTTTTCTAGAGCTGCGCAGACCTTTTTTAACATTTGATGCATCAAAGAGGCTGATGTCTGAATTCTCGTTATCATGCATTGACTGCTGCAATTCTCTCATGGTGGGTCTTCTGGCTACGCTCCTGGATAGAATTAAAAAAGAACAGAATAATGCGGCTCCCATTGTTCTGCGCAAATGCAAATTTTACTATGCTAAAACGCTTCTGACAGTGCTTCTGACGGCTGCCGGTCCGTGCTCGCATAGAGTACAAAATTGCAACTCTTTGTTACCGCTGCTTGCATGACCTGGCGCCGTCCTATCTCAAAGCGCTGATGACGCCTTATGTACCCACCAGGTCATTCCGTTCATCCGATAGTGGCAAACTCTGGATACCGCAAGTCCGCCTTGAGACCTACGGAAGGCGTACTTTCGCTTTTGCTGGTCCAAGAATCACAGAAACAGCCAGACACTGCAGTCTTTCAAGGCTTAGTTGAAAACACATCTTTTTCGCACTCACCTGGCGGGGTGATGTAGTCTACCTCCTGTTTTCCAAGGAGCTTGGTGATATTATTGGATGTATATTAGCTTGTATTGTACATTGGCTTGTATGTAGATTTTGTATTGTTGCGCTTTGTATTTTATTCCGCTTCCACACGTAATTAGGGATAAAGCGTGTTTTTTTAAATGAACTTTATTAATATCAAACTCTGTTTTCTTTTGCTTTATGTAAAAAAATAGCAATTTTCATTAAGATGTTAAAAAAACATATTAAATTAACACATATTTTTAAGCTTGTCAACAAAGTATTTGGCAAATTACTTTTTGTACTTTAAGTAGATGGAA